TACAGAGTGAGTTAAGACAAAAAAGTAAGAATATACTAAAAAACGAAGGAAGGTAGTCAGAAAGCATTTAGCTTTTCTGAAACCATTCAAATGGGGATAGGAAGTTGGTTTTAAATGGCTTAAAGGGGATTAGGGTTTTAAAGTTGGATAAAGAGTTTGGTGCTTTGGTTTAGGCATGGCATTGCTTTTAAAAGATTACTTCTATATTTGACAACAATTCTAACTGAAGATTATAAAGCAAATAGACAATTTTAAAACACTACGGAAAACAAGAGGGTTTCTTTTTTGTTGTTGTTTGTTTATACAAAATACTTGCCTGGAGTTAGCAGGCAGAGTTCTGAAGCCCTCGTTTCATAATACTCCCAAGGATCTCTCACCAGGCAGAATCCAGCAGAGGTTGTTTCATGCACTTAATTGAGATTATCTGAGCTTTTGGTTTAAATTACTTTGGGAAAAGTCTAGGTGCAAACAGCTTCTTTGAAAGGTAAACATACTTAACCTCTAAGGAAAAAGGCTCGATTTGAGTTCTTTAAACTTCTTTCATTAGTAGTATCAGCCCTTATTCATTAAATTCATTAAGAGGACAAACTGCATAATGTATTAAGGTTAAATCTCAAGCATTGCAACTGTTACTGTGTTAATATTAGTGGCTTCTTTATTTTACAATATTTTGAAAGTGCAAATGTTCTATCAGAAAAGCAATTTCTCAAAATTTTAGTAACTTCAAAAGTAAAAAGATAGTGTATACTGTTTTCATCACTGTTCTTTATTAAAGTTTTTAAAATACCTTGCTCTGCTCCATCAAAGAAACAGAGCATATTAAAGTGGATCAAGGATCAAGAATGGCATATGCTTTATACGTGTATTAGCTGTCGGTAAATAATGAAAAGTTGTCTGACCCTTTCCTCATCTTCCTCAGCTTCTTGACCTGTTCATGGTTTGGGATTGGTCGACTTACCTAGCTGACTATGGACAGCCAGCCTCCAAGTACCTTCGGGTGAATCCAAACACAGCCCTTACTCTTTTGGAGAAGTACGTATATTCTGAAAATGTTTATCTCTAACATTTTAGCATTTTGTTATCCTCTGATACTTGAAAACCCAGGGATTTTCATCAAAAGAGAAAGATCTAGATGGAGCTTAGAAGCTCAGTACAAATTAATGACCAAAATCTAAGCGTCTTCCTTGCCCTTCATGTCATTGTAGTTTTGTATGAGATACCCATTAATGTAATGGGAACAAAAACATTTTCTTTGTTGTAGCCTCTTACAACAGGCTTAGTTGCCCTTAGAAAAAAGGGCAAACTTTTTTACCCAAAAAAGACAAAAATTAATTAAGAAAAAACGATAGGGAAAAAAACCACAAATGTTAAGAAATACGTTTATTGGAGATATAAGTAAGTCATAGTAACTGAGAATAGACTTCAAAAAATACTATAATGTGGGAACAGAAAGTACCTTGTAAAAAGTGACTAGGGAATTGGATGTTTGTCACCAGAGCTATCTAAATCCTACCATTATAGATTTAGATTCTACCAAGTAGAGAAGTTATGTAATCTGAAACAGTAATATAAAAGAAAATAAAATAGCAAGAAATTAATTGCTTAGTTAATAGCAAAAGTTTAGATGTTACTTTTTCCTCTTTTTATGTGATAGATTTTTGTTTCACTCAGTCATTTCAAGTACCATTACTCAAATTTTCCATTTTTGAATTAAAAGTATGTTATTTTCCCACATTTCAATGAACTATGGTATACGTTGTTTAAGAAGACAAAAGGAAGCTGAAGTGAATGGAAGTTTATTTTACAGGGCATAAAATAGTAGAGGCCAAAAAAGGGATGCTGCTTCATATTTTCTAATGCTGTTTTCCCTATGAATATGATTCCCAGTCTATGAAGCATGTATTTTAGCATGCATTATGGATTAGAAAATAGTACAATATTAGAGAACCTAACATACTTTCAAATCACATAGTAATGCAAAGACACTACTTCAGAGAAGCTGTAATATTTTTGTAAAGCTGCTAAGTTTTTATGTAATTTTGTCAGTATCTATTTTCTTTGAAGTGCATTTCTTAAGCGGAGGATTGATTCGGAGCACACCAAGACATCTGAGTTGTGACGTACAACTTTTAATTTTCTTTCACCTCTGTTCCTAGGATGAAGGATACTAGCAAAAAGAACAATATATTTGCTCAGTTCAGGAAGAACGATCGAGACAAACAGAAGTTGATAGAGACAGTGGTGAAGCAGCTGCGAAGTCTGGTCAATGGTATGTCCCAGCACATGTAGGCTTCACATGGCTTTGCACTCAGCGACACCAAATCCCTGACTCCACACTGGTCTCTCACTGGGACTGGTTGTGATTTCTTCACTTGTTTGTAGAATTCAGATATACAATAGAAGAAAGGCAAAAGACACTGGTGAGAGCTCAAGTAAACAATAATAAATACTATTTGTATGGATTTTTTAAAAGGTGAATACTATTTTATATATGGAAAACACAACATTAATTTTTGACTTTTAGGGAACAAAAGACAAAACTGTAATATATAAATCACAGCAAAAATTGCATATGAAACTGATTGTAAATAATTAGAAAAACACACCCCTGCATATAAAGTGGGTTTTTCTTTTCTATTTAGAATTGAATGATTTTTCTGTTTTCATCAGCATCTGGTTTTGAATGCAGTCATATCTGATTCGTGAATATTTCACTATTGTGTTCTCTTAACTTTTTTCATTGCAGTCTGATTTAAGTAGACTTAAATTTCTGATTCTGCTGATTCTGAGAGGTACATAGACAAATCTGTAAAGCTTCCTGGACTCAAACTTGGTTCGGCCCAGTAAGAATGTAAATAACTTGTTTTTCTTGGCTGGTTTGATTTCATGGTGCTGCATCTGAAGAAAAGGTGTGTAGCTTTCCTGAAGACACACGGCTGTTTCTGTTCATCAGAGGCAATATTTCTAAGTATATTGTTTGTGGTTGACCCCATTCTAGCATTTGTTTGGCTTGGTTTGATTCCAGCTTAAAAAGAGAGAGAAAGAGAGGCCAGGGCCCAAGTGAGGCTTACCACTTCAGGTGCAGCTCGGAGGGTAGAATGTTCCAGCACACAGAAGTTACCAGCAGGGTCAGATTACTCTCTTCAAATAGCAGGTCTCACCACCTATCCTCTCTGGAAACAAGCCAAACCAAATGAACTCCGCGAAGCCTAAAGCGAATGTACATTTTCCTTTGTGTAAATTACCACCATCCACAAGGTGGCTTCAGCCTGATCCTCACTCCTCTTCCTTGTATTCATGCAGAAAACTCCTGTTGTTGCATTTTCAGGATTTCTGCGTTTAAGACCCATAGAGCTGACTCTGTAAAAGAACTGTAAAGAATGACATGTACATTTCTTGATTTTTTTTGTGATGAAAAATTAAAAAGATTAAGCAAGCTGTTGAAAATACTTTGCAATTCCATTCAGAGCTTCCTGATTTGAAACATCCGCTTCCTTCAGAAAGGCCATTCTTCCCTACTTAATGGAATGAGAATGTCACCAAAACAAAGAAGCAGTTATTTTCTTGACCATCTCTTTATCCTAAACTATTTCACATTTCTAAAAAACAGTTCTACTTAGAAGAACATAGGCATTCTACAGGCGCACGGAACACACACACAAATGGAGAAGTGAACAGTTTGCTTGTGGCTGTGACTGGCCCAAGCCCTTGGAGATTCCCGAGATCCCCGAGATCCCCGGACTTTGGCCGTGGCGCCCCCAATTCGGAGAGCACCGCTTTGGCACTGGCTGCTTGCGGCCGCTGCGCTGGTCCTGTTAGCTTTACTCTTCTCCGTGTGTGTACCCCTCACCCCCTCCCGCCACCCGTCGGATGGGGCCGTCGGACTAGAGGGACATAGAGGGACGCGCGAGTGCCGGGTATTAGGAGCCTTAGACGGACACTCCCAGCCCGAGAGGGAACCGCGCACCCCAGCGGGGCAGTGGGTGGAGCTCCGGAGCGAATCCGGCCCCGCACCCCCGCCCGACACCCGAAAGATGCCAAGCGCGCTCTGCGCCCCGTGGGCTCCGGGTGCCTCGTGGAACTCTGTGCAGTAATGACACTGACGCCCTTGGACGGATTTCCCCTCCCCAAGGGGGTCGTCCAGGGAGCCCGGAGATGGGGCCAGATCTGAGAATCTCCACGAGGGGTATCGGGTGTTGGCGCTGGCGATGCCAAAACTGGCGCAGAAGACGGCAAACTCCCAGCCAGAGAAAGGGAGCAAAGGGGAAGGCGCACCCCCTGGAAGCAAGCACGAGGGTGGGATCCGAGGGGGCGCCCGGGGCAGCTCTCCGCTCTCGGTTCGCCCACCCGCGACGCTCCAGTGCGAGGCCGTGGAGCTCGCCCCGCCCGGCGCTGGGCGCGGGCCGCGGCTGGGCCGCCACTCCCGAGCCCCTCGGTGAGCCGCCGCTGCCCATTCGCCTCCAATCGTTACTCTGCGTGGCGCGTTTTAAATATGCATGGGCGCGTCCTGTGTGAATCCGGCTCAGTCCCTAGGGAGGGAGCCTATAGCTATAAATGTGCTGTGGGTGGGCCGAGAAGGGTTAAAGGACTGGCGGGGAGCGAGGGGTGGGGCGGGGGGTCTGCAGCCCAGGTTGGCAGCGCCGGTGAGTTGCTCCTTTCTTCGCCCTCCCTCGCCGCTTCTATCAGAGGAGTTCTGGCCAGGGAGGAGGTGGGAGGGCCGCGGATGCCCGGAGCTGGGCTCTCTGGAGGCAGCCGACGGCCCCGCGGAAAACTGGCATTTGGCCCAGGAGCCGTCGGACTCCGGGCAGAGTCCCGAGCGCGCCGCCCTCGAGCAAGGCACGTTCCCTGCAGGCGCGTGGTCGCCGCCTCCTCCCACGGTCACTCTGCTTCGAGGTTATAAATACCGGCGTGGGTCCCCAAACCCCAGGCCCTTCACGGACCGAGCAGGTGAGCACTGCTTAGCGCCGGAGCCCGGAGCGACCTGGCCGGACAGCCTCGCCATGCTCCCCTGGGGGCTGAGCTGTCTGTCGGTGCTGGGGGCGGCGGGCACCGCTCTCCTGTGCGCCTGCCTGCTGCTCAGCCTGGCCCAACACCTCTGGACCCTTCGCTGGACGCTGAGCCGGGACCGGGCCTCAGCCCTGCCCCTGCCCAAGGGCTCCATGGGCTGGCCCTTCTTCGGGGAAACGCTGCACTGGTTAGTTCAGGTGAGCGTCCAGCGTCCCCCACACCCCCTGCCCTCGGGTCCCAGGAGGGTCCCACTGGCCCTCCTCTCTGCTCCCAGGGTTCGTAGCCAGACCCTGGCCTCTGCCGAGCCGGCCCCTCGCGGGGAGCCGGGCGTTTGTGACCGTGGTTCTCCCATCGAGCCTTTTAAACGCGGCTGAGAACGATGCGGAAGGGGTGGAGGGATGCAAAGGGATCTGGGGAAGGAGCATGCCACCCTGTCTCCCGCAAGCACAGAATCTGGAGTGCGCGCGCGCTCCGCGTCTCACCAACGGGGACGGGTATGTGCGTCCCTACGTGCTCTCCTCCGTGGCCAGTCGCGAGGCCCATTTGGAATTGCCGGCTACAGAGGAGGGTGCCATCCTGGAGGACGGACTTGCCATCCAGGGCAGTGCGGGGGGAGGGGGCAGGGCCAGACCCGGCCACCCCAACCCTCCCTCTTCGCTCCGCCTCGCGCTCAGGGTTCGCGCTTCCACAGCTCCCGCCGGGAGCGCTACGGGACGGTCTTCAAGACGCACCTGCTGGGCCGGCCCGTGATCCGCGTGAGCGGCGCCGAGAACGTGCGCACCATCCTGCTGGGCGAGCACCGCCTGGTGCGCAGCCAGTGGCCGCAGAGCGCGCACATCCTGCTGGGCTCGCACACGCTCCTCGGCGCCGTGGGTGAGCCGCACCGGCAGCGGCGCAAGGTGAGCCAACAGAGGGGCGGTCGGGGACAGTGGCCCCGGGGCTCCCGGGCCCCTGAGGTGAGCCAGGTTGCCGCTGGGAATTAGGGGCGCACCGTGCGCTGGCGGGACCTCAGGCTCACCAGCGGGTGGGTGACCACGGATCGGGTCCTTGGCGTCTCCTAGTACGGCTTCCACTGGAACCTGGATTTCGGCCCTTTCGTTTCCGATCTTCTGTGCCTATGATTCCGAAAGCGCCGGAGACTGAGGTCTGGAAAGGGGTCAGGGAAGACCTCCTGCCGGACGTCCACTCTGAGCCTGGATGGGTGGGTGGGAGGGTCTGTGTCCATCAGAGAGAGAACTAAAGGGAACGGCCAGCGCACAAGATATCACGGCTAGGGGCAGGTCGATGGGACCGAAATTGGCCTTCTGGCCCCTCTGGACTCGCGGACAGAGGAAACCGGGCCTGAGCCAGGGCTGGTGGCCCGTTCCCGCAGGTCCTGGCGCGAGTGTTCAGCCGCGCGGCGCTGGAGCGCTACGTGCCGCGCCTGCAGGGGGCGCTGCGCCGCGAGGTGCGCTCTTGGTGCGCGGCCGGCGGGCCCGTGGCGGTTTACGAGGCCGCCAAGGCGCTCACCTTCCGCATGGCCGCGCGCATCGTCCTCGGGCTGCGGCTGGACGAGGCGCAGTGCGCGGAACTGACCCGCATCTTCGAACGGCTCGTGGAGAACCTCTTCTCGCTGCCCCTGGACGTGCCCTTTAGCGGCCTGCGCAAGGTAATGCCCACCTGGCCCCACATTGGGGAAGAGGGGGACCCCCTTTGGCGCGCCCCACTTGGCACCCCTGCGCGGGGAGAGGAGAGGGAGGCCTGACCTAGGGTGGGGAGAAGCACAGGAGCCGTGGCACTGGGGATGGCCGCCGTTCTGATTATTCGCTGTGTGGCTCGGGGCGGGCCACACACCCTCTCTGGGCCTCACCTGGTGGAACTTGTTTCAACCCGATCAGCCGCGCGGCTTTGGGTCTCCAGGGCGGGCACATTGCCGGTCTGTCCCAACTCCTCCCCCAAAAAAGGCGCCTTTGGTCCAGCCTGCAGTGCCTTTTTGGAAGCTTGGAAAGCTGGGGAATGAACGAATGAGGGCACCGAGGCTGCAGACACGCCCCCGGCCCAGCCCAGCGCCAGCACGGGTTGAAGGGGGCTGGGTGCAGGCTGGCCGGTCCTCGGTCCTCGCTCTGAGAAGGCCCGCTAGTAGAAACACCAGGGAGTAGCCGCCTCCTCAACTGCAGAGCAACCGGCTGGCCCTAGGAGCAGCCGGAGACTCCATGCCGCCTTCCCTCACCCTGGGAGCTGGGGCTTCTCCTGGTGCACGTGGCCTGGTTTTCAGATTTCTAGACGAAAATAAGGTCAGGTGTCCATGATACAAGCTGGTTGACTTGCATGCATTTTTCCAATTAAACCTTGCAGCCTGCAAAGTAAATATTCTCCTTTTATTGGTGAAGAAACTGAAGCTCAAGAGGTCAAACGATTCACCCAAGACCACATAACCATTATAAAAGCTTTTTTTTTTTTGCCGTGCTGCATCCCTGAATACTGTAGGGGGACCCTCCTTTTACCATATTATAGAAACTAAGTGCTTAGAACATCTGTTAGAACCTCCCTGGTTGTATCAGGTGATCCTTGCTCTCTGCCCCGTTGTCCCCTCCTAAGCCTACTGAGGAAAAGGGCACAGACCTCCACCGCTATGGGCACTGACTGCTCTGTGTGACTTGGGGTAATCTCTTGACCTCTCTGAGACTCATCCTCCTCCCCGCAGGATACTGTAATCCAGCCTTGTCTCAAAGGGACTTATGATAATCAGGAGAAAATAATGTGGGGGTTCAGGAACAAATTCTTGGGCATGTGTGGATCCCCTGCTATGAGCCAGGACAGGGAGCTAAGATGCTGGAGACTGACACTAGAATTTCAGTGACCCAGAGCAGTATTCCCAGGAGGATGGCGGGGGTGCATGGGGAGGGGTGGAGATCCTAAGCCCTGGGGCCCCTCAGCCTTCTCACCCCACTTCTCTCCCTCCACATCCCCCTATTAGGGCATCCGGGCACGGGACCAGCTTTATCAACACCTGGAGGTGGCCATTGCAGAGAAGCTTCTGGAAGACCAAGCAACAGAGCCAGGCGACGCCCTGGCCATGATCATCCACAGCACCAGGGAGCTGGGTCACGAGCTCTCCATGCAGGAGCTGAAGGTGGGTGGGGATTCCACACCGCTCGTTCACGGTCATTCCTGTCCTGTCCCTGGGCCGCAGCTCCCAAGCCCCTCCCGTGTGGCCCCCTTGTAAGCCACAGGCCTGCCTTGGGGTGAGAGGGAAAAACAGACCCGAGTTCTCGTCATGGCTGAGCCACCGACTCGCTCTGTGGCCTGGCCACGGCTACTGCTCTCAGGGGCACGGTGGAGGTGAGAGTCCTCGGCCTCTCCTTACAGATTCCAGCCACAACAGCCTCCCCCAGCCCGCACTGAACCCACCCCAGCCATTGCTGCTGCTGTCCCCCTGCCTGCAAAGCCTTTTCACTTCTGTCTTTTAGAAACCCTAAAGGCTTGGAGTCCACATCCACCTCTTTGGGGGGGCTCCTCTTCTCACATCAACACTCCCCCCATGAGCCATCTTGTCACTGTGTACCGCAGGCTGGCTCTTTGGCCACAGTGGGGTCTCCTGGGGAACCGGACCTCTCCTTCCCCGCATGCTCGGTGGAAACCATGCTTGCCACAGCAAAAGAAGGTTTAGAATAGTCCTGGCTGTGCCGGAGCAGTAGCACAGTGGGTACAGTCTTGTGTGGCACGTGCCTCACCCGGGATCCATCTCAGGCACCCCATATGGTTCCCTGGGGACCTCCAGAAGTGATCGCTAAGTGCAGAGTAAGTGGTAAGCCCTGAGCTTGGTCAGGTGTCCCCCCCCCCCAAAAAAAAACACCAAACATTGGGATCTGCTTGAGAACCCAAAATCAAGAATGGGGGTGAAGGGAGGTAGCAAGGAGAACACCTCCATCCTTCTGTAAGAAACCCCCACGTTTTCCCCAGGCCTAGTTTCCCCTCCTGCCACCAGCCAGCCACGGAAAGATGGTATGGGGACCCGTCTTCTTTCCTTCTCTGGAAATGGGGACTTGTGTCCTAGTGTGAGAAGTCGAGGTGAGGGGGGGCTGGCAGCGGGCTGGTATATCCAGGGAAGCGCACGGAGCAGAACGCGCTCTGCCAGGGAGGAGCATGGGAAGGGATGGGCACTCTCTGGGCCTCGGGAGGTCGTGGGAAGGTGGCAGCACCCCACAGGTGCCCAGGAAGAGACCCCAACTGTCTAGGAGCCCTCCGTTCTGCTCAGGCAGTAGGTGTTCGCCAGGAGCTCACGCTTTCCAAGGGAGATCTTGGAGTTTCTCCCCAGCATGTCCCTGGCACAGTCAGGCAGGTCTCTCTGGAGCAGGACTTTCATTCCTCAACTGTTAGGAGCCTCTTCAGTGTCAGCAGCCTCCATGCAAGGGCCGGAGGCTGGAAGTGAACAAAATGCACAGGAGAGGGGACCCAGCCCTGCGTCACTTCTCAACAACAGGGTTGGGGTAAGCATGGAATGGGTTCACACCCGCAAAGCATTCGGAGCTAAGAATTCCTAAGAAATGCAGCAAAGGGCAGGTGTGGCCTAAAGGACACCCGCACCCCCTCACCCAGGGGTTGGAGGGCCGAGGGCCTGGGCAGGGCTGGGGCCCAGACAGGAAAGCCCCGGCTCCCCTGTCCTTCCTGGCAGAGCACACTCGAGGGTTAGTTCAGCAGGCAGAGGAGGACACCGGCTGCTTCCTGGTCATGACCCCGTTGGTGACAGTCAGGAACCAGGCTGGAGGCACAGAGAGTGCCACGTTGCAGGGATCTCAGCGCCTCTCTGAGCCTGGGTTGGCAGCCCCACAAGATGAAGGCAGTAATCGTCCCCTCAGGGTTGGGGTAGATGCCCCAAGGCACGAAGACGGGCACACTGAATAACTCTCTAGCGTTCTCTCTGGAGCCCCTCACACACACTCAAACAGATCCTGGGTTAGTGCACGGACTTCTGTCGGGGCCTTTTCCACCTGTGGGCTAGAGAGCCAGTCAACTCCAGGACGCTCACAGCCACCGCCCAAGAACACCTGTGTTCCCATCTTTCACTCGTCAGGGAACGGGGTCCTCAGGGCACTCGCCACGGGGCACTGAGGTTCAGCATGAATCCGCCGGAACTGTCTTTCTTGCAGGAGTCTGCTGTCGAGCTCCTCTTCGCTGCCTTCTTCACCACGGCCAGTGCCAGCACGTCCCTTGTCCTGTTGCTCCTGCAGCACCCGGCAGCTGTCACCAAGATCCGGCAGGAGCTGGCAGCGCAGGGGCTGGGGCCTGCGTGCAGCTGTGAGCCAGGGGTAACCAGGGGCAGCGGGGGGCCCCGGCCGGATTGCAGCTGTGAGCCGGACCTCAGTCTCGCGGTGCTGGGTCGCCTGCACTATGTGGACTGCGTGGTCAAGGAGGTGCTGCGCCTCCTGCCCCCTGTGTCTGGGGGCTACCGCACAGCGCTGCGCACCTTTGAGCTGGATGTAAGTGGTCGGGCCACCCGGCCCTGGGCCTCCTGAGCCTGCCTTGTGCAGGGTCAGAGGGCGCCAGGGGGTCCATGTCTTTTCATTCTATTTCCAAGCTGCAAAATGGGCTGAAGCTTGTTCCATTGGCCCGGATCCATGGTTGGGGCCTCTCGGCCAGCCCATAAGGTCAGGGAACCCCTATACTTCAGCACTTGGCTGAGTTATGGGTGGGTCAAGTCAGAGCGGACTTGTAGAATACACATACACTTTTCTCTGTCAAGTTACCCGCAACCCCGTTAGCCCGTGGGTCTTGGAGAGAAACAGCATCTGATGAGATGAAGGAAGAATTTGGTGATGACTCCATGATCGCTTACCCAACCCAGCTGAGCCAGAGGCCAGGGATGGAGGCGAATGAAATAAGGGGAACAGGGTCTGGGCAGCCTAGCGTGGGCAGGGCAGGAAAGTCATGGTCTGGCTCCATCTCTTAAGAGTTGGGCAAATCCCTCCTCAGTGTGGATGTCTGCTCACTGTGTTAGTGGGGGGGTGGGGGGGGAGCGTCTCAGTCCTTCCTAACCCTAATGTGCTGGGACATTGCCTGAAGTGTGCTCACTGCCTTTCCCTTCATCCCCAAAGTGGCCACCTCCTTTACTCAAGGTTGTGTTGTTGTTTGGGAGCCAAACCCAGTAGTGTTCAGGGATTAGGCCTAGTTCTGTGCTCAGGGATTAGACCTGGTGGTGCTCAAGGGACCATATGCAGTGCTGGGAATCGAACTTGGTCAGCTATATGCAAGGCTAGCACCTTGAGAAGTCCTTGTACTGTCTCTCCAGACCAGTTTCCGGAAGATTATTTTAATCTCCAAACGAAGGAGGTACATTTGCAAAGAGACAGTGGGGGGAAGGGGTTTAGGACTAACTTCTTCATCCCAAGCAGCATGCATAAACAAACTGGTGATCTCAAGCTGGAAGAGCCCAAACCTTTGGGGAACTGGTGTCTGAACAGGAGGTGTGAAGGACTAGGGTGTCCCCATCGTGAAGGGGAGGCACATCAGAAGAGAGGAGACAGCTCCGAACAAGGAGGTGGATCTACTGATGCTTCCGAGAGTGCCCTACTGAATGGCAGAGCTCAGACTTCATCTGTGGGCACTGCAGAGCCGCTGGGTGGGCAGGGGGATGCTAAGCGAGGAACCCACGGATCTAAGCCAGCTGGCAGCAGCCTCAAGGGGGGTGGGGTTGGGGTCCAGGGAAACCCACCCCGAGACAGCAGCCACCAGGTGGAAGTGGGAAGAGGTGTCCTAAACTGGAATTGTCGGGGCAGGGGGGTGCGCAGCAAAGGGAGCAGGAAAGCTGTTTCCCAACATTTGGAGGACTCCCCACTTTCTCCATGCGCCTTAAAAGATGGCTGAATATTCTGGAGTCGGTAGGCAGGACGGAGAGAGGATTTCGTGTAGGACAAGAAAGAGCTTTATGACAGCTGACCACTGTGGAAAGGGGTGGGGCTGGGGCTCTTGTTAGGGCCCCCCTCCCCTTTCCAAGGGCACAGGCAACTGGTAGGTGCGAGACTGGAATTTAGGCCTCCTGATAGAAGGAAAAAAAGGAAGTTGAACCTTAAAACCAAATAGTACGTCACATTTACTGAGCACGGAAACACATGCCAAATCTATTACTCAGATCTTCACAACAAAATGAGCATCTGGGCTCACATGAGATGCGCTAAGAAACGGAATTTCTGGGCCGGGGCCATAGTACAATGGAGATCGATCTGCGGCAACCCTCTGGGTCCCCTGAACCCCACCAGGAGTGATCCCTAAGCACAGGGCCAGGAATAAGTCTTGAGTACCGCCGGGTGTGGTCCAGAAACCAAAATGAGTTTTGGAGAGCTGAGTGTCTGGCCTCGGGTCAAGGCTCACGGACGGGCGGCGGCTGGAACGAGGGGGGGGCGGGCGCTGCCCGTGTCCAAAGCCCGGGGTTGGGGGAGGGGCGGGAAGGGGGAGAGGGTTTAAGAGGACCGGTCCTGGCCAGGTGCCTCGTGCTCAGGCGCTCTTCGGCTCCCCCCCGCAGGGCTACCAGATCCCCAAGGGCTGGAGCGTGATGTACAGCATCCGGGACACGCACGAGACGGCCGCGGTGTACCGCAGCCCGCCCGAGGGCTTTGACCCCGAGCGCTTCGGCGCGGCGGGAGAGGACGCGCCGGGCGCCGCCGGCCGCTTCCACTACATCCCGTTCGGCGGCGGCGCGCGCAGCTGTCTGGGCCAGGAGCTCGCCCAAGCCGTGCTCCAGCTGCTGGCGGTGGAGCTGGTGCGCACGGCGCGCTGGGAGCTGGCCACGCCGGCCTTCCCCGCCATGCAGACGGTGCCCATCGTGCACCCGGTGGACGGGCTGAGGCTCCACTTCCACCCGCTGGCTCCCGGCGCGGCGCGGGACGGACCACGCCTCTGACCCGCGGCTCCGCGGGATGGACGGACGTGGCCCGCGGCTACCCCGCGCGGCAACACTGCCCCTCTGCGGCTCCCTCGGGCCGCGCGCGGCTCTCGCTCCCTCCTCGCACGGTCGGTCCCCCGAAAGCTGCTCGCGGTCGCGTTCCGTGGGGAGGCGCGCGAGCCGACGCCCCCCGCGCCCCGGTTCCCGTGCCCTGCGCCCGGAGGCAAGAGAAGTCGTGGGGCAAACACTGAAGCAGAAACCAGGGAACTGATTTCCAGTAGAAGCGACGCAGCTCCGCCGGCTTTCCCGTGCCAAGACCTAGATGTGGGGCCGCGGGGAGTCTTGAGTCCTGCCGACGTGCTGCGCTCCGGCGAGTGTCGGGCACTTTCAAGAACGCATTGCCCTAAGAAGACACGAACGGAAAGGTCCCCCCGACCCCCACGCGGGCCGCGGCCCTGGGCTTGATGTGTCGTGGCCACTCCACCGGTCTCGTCGCAAAACTGAGCTGTGGACGCGGCCAGTTCTCCAGACAGTCCCACAGCGTCAGCATCTGCAGGCCGCTTCTTGGGGGAAAAAAATCGACTCTGAGAAAGTTTTGGGGAAGAATAGATGGCACGAGATTGATACGGCTGGATTACTGGGGGGTGCGGGCTGGATTACCGGGATGCAGAGAGTATTTGTGTCCCAAAACAGAGCGGCCAGAAATAGTTTGCCCGCAGTGGGTGAGGGAGAACACTAAGGTTTGGCTGGACAGCTTATGGGGGAATAGGGCTTGGCAGGTGGGGGGCGGGGGCGGTTGCTGTCCGGCTGGCCCACCCCAGCCGGAGCTATACACCCAGAGCAGAATCTAGGATTCTTTACTTTCGGCGGTGGTGGTGGTGGTGGTGGGCGGGGCGGTTGCTGTCCATCCGTCTGTCCTGTGCATTACAGCTGACCATAGGGAGACCCGCATCTCTGAATAGAATCTGTCCAACAGGGGCCCCACTGTGGGGCTATGTGGCCAAGGCTCTGCTCCCCTTCACCTCCATCCCCATCTATCCTGACTTCAGCCTCTGGGTGTGTGGCCACATCAGACTCTGCCTTTTTGTCCTTCTGACAGGTCCTCCCTTCCTGGACCTTCCCAACACGAAGTTCCCAGCAGTGCTTTAGTCTCCAAGAGTCCCCAACACCATCATCCCCAGGGCCCCGCTTCCATCTCTGACCCACCTGCAGACAGGCCAGGGGCAGCTTGCATGCTTGAGCTGACCCTCTAGTGAACCGAAGGGGCAAGCGCCCTCCTGACCTTATGCTTAAGGTGGTTCCTGGGGCCAGCAGGAAAGGGGGAGTAGCAGGCTTGGGCACGGCGGGCCCTTCCAAGCTATGCTGACACCACCATAACCCCCATACGCGTGACAATTCATCACCCACTGCAGGCCTGGCGCCAGTCTTTGGGCTTTGCAGGCGCCAGGGCCTGCCCTAGGGGTTCTCTTGAGGCTGCCGAGGTGACAGTCCCTGCCAGAGAATCTTCAATTTGGCTGAGGTGGGGGAAGGATGCGTTCTTGGGATGATTACACTGTGGCAAGAGAAGAGAAAGATGTGGGAAGTCTGGATGGTGTCAGGGGTTGCAAGAGATGAGGTTGCCCTGGCTTATACACACAGGGTCTGTACTAATGTAAGGTCCTCTAGGGGCAGCTCCAACCTGAGTCCACCCTCCCACAGAGCCCATCCACAACCTTCTTCCCCCTTCTCGCCTCTCCCTTCCCCCCCCCACCATAGCAGCTCTCCTGGTTTCCAGAATCGCTGTTTCTGGCTTCCGGAAATGGATTTGCTAACTGCCGAGATGCACAAGAAATACGTAGCAAACAAAAGAGCAAGAATGTGTCCCTGGGGCTTCCGGGCTGGGATTTGGGGGGTGGGGAGGGGGGGATGGGGAAGAAAGCAGTCCTGAAAGACGAGCACAGCAGGGTGGATGGGGGAAGATTTCTCTAAGGAGCATCCAGTTTGGGAAGGAAACCAGCCAGGAGTGATGGGGGTGGGGGCGCCCCACACGGAGGCCGCAGCAAGTCTAGAACCCTGGGCAGACCCTCGCGCTCCTGGTGGGGAGAGGTTGGAAGGGAGAGGCGGGCTTCTGTCTCCCCGTGCTCATTCTCCTCTCCCAGCGAAAAACAAACAAAAACAAGCACAACCACCACCAAAACACCCACTACGGTGTCCCCCCCCACCCCACCCCCCCGCCCTGTGGAGGCTGTTTTGTAAACATCTTGGAAACATTTTGTTTTCCAGCGAACCAACAAGCCTCCTCCCCCGCCCACCACCATGCAGAAAAGCGGGGCAAAGTTTCTAGATCAAAGTTCCTTGGGAGGCTGGTGATTTGGTGACCCCCTCCCCCCACCGTAGATGTGTCCTTGCATGATCGTCCCGCTCCCGCTCCATCCTCTCCTACCCCACGCCCCCGCGGGGCTCAGTGAGAACACCGCGGCGCCCCCTCCCCCCCGCCCCCGGCAATTTCCAGTTCGCAGGCCCCGCTCCGCTGGTGACCCGGCGGCCGCTGAACTTGGCGAGGTGGCCCTACAGAGTTCACCGGGATGTCATGGTCCGGCCTGCAGGGGTCACAGGCGGGTCAGGCCCCGGGATTGGGACTGGGCCCCAGGTCACGCCCCCGATCGCCTGTGCGGTTCATGGGCTGTCGGGCGCAGTCCAGCAAAGGGGGGCGGGCGGGAGGCGGGGGGTGGGGGGGACTTCTGAGAATTACCTCCAGCGCGTCTGGCCCTGATTCCTGCCGGTGCCCAGGTTGGCTCGCGCCGCTTCCGACAGGCGCCAGGTCCTTGGAAGAAAGCGCCGAGCGGGGAGACGCTTCCCCGGCGCCCGTGAGCCGCGGGGCGCGGGGCCGATCTGTGGCCGGGATCTGCCGGCTCCCCCCAACACCCTCTGTGGTCAGGGGAGCCCGCCCCGAGCGCTTCGGGGATCGCGCTTTTTCTAGACTCCGGGAACAGTCCTCCATCTCGCCTGGCTTTGTAACCGCTGAGGGTCAGGTATTGAACCAGCTCCCGGGATCAAAGCGGGTTTTCCCTCTCCAAGGGACGCTTTCCCAGGCTTGCGGCGTCGCCCGCGGAGAGCTGGCACTGCGAATTAAACGAACGCACCCCCCAGTCCGTTTTGCCTCCAGCCACGCGGGCGCATTCAGCTCACAAACCGAGCACAGAGCGTGTAGCCCCGGCCGTTGGGAAGCGGCGGCGACCTCCAGGTGGGTATCCCGAGCACACCTGCGCCCCCTCAGTTCCCGAGCCGCCGCCGCTTCCCTGCCAAAGTCTTAAATACTCCCATCAAGAGTCCTCGGTGGCCCGGGTTTGGAGTGAGGACTCCTTCCTCTGGTGTTTTCAAGCTGCCAGAGAACCTCGGAGAGCGCAGGTCCTCTCCAATGCGGAGGGGGAGGTCACCCTGGTAATGCAGCGATGGCGAGGAGGGGTGGGGGACATTTGCCGCCAGAGGCCGCATTTGGGAACTTAAGACTACCCTGTTTGCACAAACGGGGAGTGAAATGCCATACTCCAAGGTCAGGCCACTGGCGCCCAGTGACCCAGGCTACCCATCCCTCCAAAGCTGATCCGCAGCGCTAGGAGTCCTGGCCACCAGGGCTGCACCTCAAAATGCTGCAGCCCTTAAGGCGCCGGGACTTGTGACCCTCTCACGCCCCCAAGTATGATCAGGCAGGCTACATGAGTGCTGGAAAAGGCATACACGAGTACGCCGTGGTTCTACAAGGCTCCTGCTGGGGTGCCAACCCCAGGCGCGTCTGCACGACCTTCGGAGGAGTAGGAAAGAGGTCGAGTTTTTCTTTACGCATGAACCGCAGTTTCCCCGCACTCGTGGAGACGAGGGACGGCACCATTTCAGGACCCGCTTCTCTCTGCTGCCCCGGCAGGTGGAAGGGAGCCCACGCGGGCCTCTAAGTGGAAATCCAGTCTAGGCGGCTCTGGGCTGGGACCGCCCGTCCGAGTCTCTGGGAGGGTTTCCAAAGAGACCGCCAAGAAGCCCAGGGCTCGGGAGTTCCCGCTTCTTGGAGCCCGGCTGGGCGCCGACAACGGTCTGGGAGCCCAGCACACCTAGGTTGGGGGGAAGCGGGCAGCTCCCAGCCCCGCACCCCAGGAGGCGCGCTCCAAGGGAAGAGGCGCGACCGCCACCTCTGCCTCGGCGTGGAACAAACGGTTAAAGATTTTGGGCAGTGCCTCGCGGGGGGAGGAGCCAGGGGCCCAACCCGCAATTAAAGATGAACTTTGGGTGAACTAATTTGTCTGACCAAGGTAACGTGGGCAGCAACCTGGGCCGTCTATAAAGCGGGCGCGCGGCGGGGTTCGCAGCGCTGGCGACAGCGGCAGGTGGCGCGGGAGGCCGCAGCGCACCATGGGGCTCCCCGCACTGCTGGCCAGTGCGCTCTGCACCTTCGTGCTCCCGCTGCTGCTCTTCGTGGCCACCATCAAGCTCTGGGACCTGTACTGCGTGAGCAGCCGCGATCGCAGCTGCGCCCTCCCTCTGCCCCCCGGGACGATGGGCTTCCCCTTTTTTGGAGAAACCCTGCAGATGGTGCTGCAGGTAAGGGAGCTGGGCGCGCGCGACGACGGACTCGGTTCCCGGCTTCCACTGAAACCCGGGTAGGCGCCCCCGGGAGGGAGGTGACGACGGCGAGGACCGGGGCTGAGACGGAGGCGCGCTGCTCCCCGGCGCCCCCTCACGCCCGCCTCTCCCTTCCCGCTTTCCTCTCCCAGCGAAGGAAGTTCCTGCAGATGAAGCGTAAGAAATACGGGTTCATCTACAAGACGCATCTGTTCGGGCGGCCCACGGTGCGGGTGATGGGCGCGGACAACGTGCGGCGCATCTTGCTCGGGGAGCACCGGCTGGTGTCGGTGCACTGGCCCGCATCCGTGCGCACCATCCTGGGCTCGGGCTGCCTTTCCAGCCTGCACGACTCCTCGCACAAGCAGCGCAAAAAGGTGAGGGCGCGGCTGGCGGCAGGAAGGAAGGGGGAACTGTTTGTCGGGGGG